AAGAATATTGGAATTAAATTAATCGTGTGGATTCAAACATGACTCTCAATAACATTTTACACATTTTTAACATTTAACTAAAATACTCTCCTTTGAATTATAATCCTGTTGTTTTTCCTTGTTTAGTTCTGATTAACCAGGAAGTAGTCTGTGTGTAGTGTTTCAGAATTATTTGATTGGTTATCTACTTATCTATGCCTCTTATTCCATTCTTCTCATAAAATAGTCATAACAATACCCATCACATGAGCGTTTTGATTAAAGGACGGTAATTAATGATCTAATTATTAATAGACCAGTCAGCTACAGATTGTGTGTTATTTATTGTTGATAGACACCTGAGTGACGTGCATGATTTCAAGTCTTTGGGTCTTGGTAATGAGCTTGGGATGGACTGGTGCAGCGTCTGTCTCAAGCTTCCTTCACAAAACTCTGAATTTGCTCTTTCCTAATAGCTTGCAGTGCTGATCTTGTTGGGAAAGACAGCCATTTAGTTGTCTATCTCATCTTGGAAATGTCCTCCTAGTCCAAAATATTATTCATGTTGGTAACTGGCAATAGTAATTGGACTGCAGTGTGGAAACAAAACAGTAGCATGCACTATTAGCACTCTTGCTAAGATTACACTCCACGTTGTCACACATCTTTGGCAGCACGGTCCTCCAGCTGTCTCAGGCGGATGTTCAGTGAAAGTCAAAGATCAAGGAGCCATAACTTTTATGAGTGTCTTATCTCTGTGAAACTTGGAAAAGCAATAAAGATACAATATGAGGAAGAAACTCAGGGTCAGAACGGTTGTATAAGCTTTGACTGCTTTGACCCTTTGGCTTTTTCTTTTTTAAACTACACAGTATTTAAAGCCCTGGTAAAAGTATGTAAGGCTTGGCCTGAGACTGGCACTCAACAGATGATTATAGAAACTTTAAGCCAAACTTGATGATCGTTCATCACTGCCTTTCTTTTAGATTATGTAAACTGATAAAGGACTGGAGAAACCTTATGAATGAAGATGCTTCCAAACGGGTTACCAGAGGCAAATAATCAATACATTTTTTATGGGTATGAAAAAAAAGAAATTAATGATATGCCGTGACAACAATGTTTGTTGGCTTTGCATCCCATAATGCCAAAGCACAGGGGTAAATGAGATACATGCAAGTGCATAATCATGGTAAATGGTTTAATTCTACTGTTTACCTTATGATTGTTGAGATGTAGAATAAAATGAGGTTGCTAACATAATTTTTGAAATAAATGTTGTTGTGATTATTACATCTGTTAAAGCTTGAACAACCTTGGTGGACAGACTTGAAATATAGCAATACAAAGGTGGGTGAAAAAGAAAAGTGACCTGAAACAGACTTATAAATTATGTTTTACATGTGATTTAAACTCAAGCTGCCACCAGAGAGACCAGAGGCCTGTACTACGAAGCCGGATTTTCGCTTAGCCGGCTAACTTCAGGGAAAACTCAGGGTTTCCGGTCCTACGACGCTGGTTCTCTTTTTAGCGGGCTAGATCTCCATGGTAACTTATGCTGAGCGGCTAACCTGCTCCGGAGCAGGTTAGGTTGCAGGCTAAGAGATCAACTCAGTGAAAGCACCGCCTGCTGACCAATCAGAGCTACGTGTGCGGAGTTTAAAGCGATCAAGTCATATTACAGGATAGAGGAAATACAGAAAAACTGCCGTTGCAGGAAAGACGGCCGGCAAAAATCAACTGACTGTGTGAACGTGAAAATGAATAGAATATCCCCTCCCATCTTCAGAGCAATCTGACTATTATAATTAGCGTTAAGAAAGCTTACTTAAATATCTGCCACAACATAAGTAACCGGATCAGAGTAACATTAAGTACAGTCCGCGGCACTGTGAGTGCAGACGTCGATGTGTCCCATTATCATTCATATCATATCACATCATAATGTATCATATATTTCCTTATTTGAGTCAGCTTCTTGAGCCGTATCTGGCCGTGCAACACTCACAGTGTCACATACTGTATGCAGAAGTATTATTTTAAGCAACACATTAAGTTGACGAAACACTCGAGTCAAATGTAATTAAAGTCAGATCCACTCGTGTCTTGGACGGGGCAGTGATATCATAAACCTGTTAATGTACGCATTCAAACGCTTTTTCTTTTACCAGCTGTATTCACCTTGCAGGTGCAGCTATGTGGCTTTTATCCTGGATAAAGTGTTTAAGTCATGGATGTTTAAAGTTTAACTTCTTCATATTTGACTAATATTAAAGTTCACTTTTCATTCAGGAAGTATGACGCTGCGCTGTCAGTACCCTTGTCCATGTTTGTGATTGGTCGAATGCTCCAAATACCACCCCTTTCATGTGAACGCGCACCTAACTAGATAGGACACGGCTGGCTTGAGCGATCCACTTGATAACCCGCGTCGTAGTACAGTTTAGCGAGAGCGCGTATGTTTTGGATTGGGCCAACCGGCTAACTCAAACATATCCAGGTTATGTTGAAGCGGCTTCGTCGTACAGGCCTCTGCAGAGTGGAAGATGAAAACCCGATCCTTATGAAAGCGATGAGTAGACTAACATTTCTCAAGTTAATACATCAACCAAAACAGATATGTGTTTCCATCATGTTTCTACAGATGTACCACAGGGAGTCACCATATGTATTTGGGATCATCCACTGAAGATCACAAACATTCATTTTGCCAGTAGTTGTTTTAGTTTGAAAACTTGTTGGACACATAACTAACCCCCTGCATGACCATCGTCCTCAGGCGCTGTTGCTGCTGAAACAAGATTAAATATTTCGACATAGTTAATCCCTCTACTGTGGTGCATCCAACACAATACAGACATTGTTTTTTGTTTTTCTGTTCACGTGCCACTCTGTTGACCAGAGAGCAAAAGCAATTTATAGTAAAGTCATGTCCAAACAAAAGACCCTTCCCCCCATCAGGTTGTGCTGTATCCAACCCACATTTAAATAAAATCCACTCAGATCCACGCAGTGTCTGCGTGCGCATCTCTCCCAGATGAGCTAAACAGTTTTTTTGCACGCTTTGAGAGCAGCCAGGCTGTGGAGGTACAGAGGGACCAGGAGCTACACTGCCCTTTTGTTTTAAATAGGGCAGATGTGTGTAAATCCTTTAAAAGGGTTAACCCACACAAGGCTCCTGGACCTGATGGCATCCCTGGCCGTGTTCTCAGGGTGTGTGCAGTTCAGCTGGCAGAGGTGTTCACAGACATCTTCAACAGGTCCCTGCTGCAGTCTGTAGTCCCCACATGTCTTAAACACTCCACCATCATTCCTGTCCCCAAAAAGACAATCATCACCTGCCCCAACGACTACCGCCCAGTAGCGCTCACCTCCATCATAATGAAGTGCTTTGAGCGGTTAGTCAAATTATTCATCACCTCCTCCCTCCCTGAATCTCTGGACCCCCTGCAGTTTGCCTACAGAGCAAACAGGTCCACAGACGACGCCATAGCCCTCACCCTCCACACTGCCCTCTCACACCTGGACCAGAGGAACACATATGTGAGAATGCTGTTCATTGACTACAGTTCAGCATTCAACACCATTGTGCCCTCCAAGCTGGCCATCAAGCTCAGAGACCTCGGGCTCAACAGCGCCCTCTGTGACTGGATCCTGAACTTCCTGACGGGCAGACCCCAGGCAGTGCGGTTGGGAAACATCACATCCTCCACCCTGATCCTCAACACCGGTGCCCCTCAAGGCTGCGTGTTCAGCCCTCTCCTCTACTCCCTACGTTCACCCACGACTGCGTGGCCACACACAGCTCCAACACCATCGTGAAGTTTGCTGATGACACGACCGTCATCGGCCAGATCACAGACGATGACGAGACGGCGTACAGAGAGGAGGTCGAAAACCTGACATCTTGGTGCCAGGATAACAACCTCCATCTCAACATCAGCAAAACAAAGGAGCTGATTGTGGACTACAGGAAGCAGCAGGGAGAGGGACACGCCCCCATCGCCATCAATGGGACTACGGTGGAGAGAGTCAAAAGCTTCAGGTTCCTTGGGGTCCACATCACTGAGGACCTGACATGGTCTCTTCACACCCACCACCATCACCAAGAAAGCTCGACAGCGGCTCTTCTTCCTCCGCAGGTTGAGGAGGTTCAAAATGGATCCAGGATACTCTGCAACTTCTACAGGTGCACGATAGAGAGTATCCTGACTGGCAGCATGACGGCCTGGTACGGCAGCTGCACCGACCTCGATCGTAAGGCTTTACAGAGGGTGGTGAAAACTGCACAGCACATCACCAGGACGGAGCTGCCATCCATGGAGGACCTTTACTCCCAGCGGCTCAGGAAGAAATCACTACGGATGATCAAAGACCCCCATCACCCCAGCCACAAACTGTTCTTTCTGTTGCCGTCTGGCAGACGTTACCGCAGCATCCTGGCAAGGACAAGAAGATTCGGAGACAGTTTCTTCCCGCGGGCAGTGAGACTGTTAAAAAATTGAACTGTTGAAACAACATCAAACATTCAACTGCTACTCAGTAGTATGTATCTAATACCTAATATATATATATCATTCCAATAACTTGTATATAGACTCATACTGCACTATTCCACATCATAACTTTATTTCATTTTTATAACTATTATTATTTTTGTATTGCTCATGCTCTTATTGTTATTATGTTATGTTATTATGTTGCATTGTTGGAGAAGCCTGTGACATAAGATTTTCAACTGCATAATTACTCTGTAGCTATGTCAGATTGACAATAAAGAACCTTGAACCTTGAACCTTGAACCTTGATAGGGGTTTAGAATAAACAAACACATTCGTTCACATATTTCAAAAGTTGGACGCAGGCACTGTCTTCATGTTCTTTTGACACAAAGAACAACACTTAGCACTTTCAGGACTCACATAAAGTTGAACTTTAGCTGTTGATTTACAGGCAGATTGTAGATTGTAGATGAAGGAGGAGGCGTTTTAACAGCACTGAGGAAGGAATAAATCTCTCGCTCAATGTGTGAGATTCTCTCCCCTGTCCGACAGATTTACTCTCCTCACTTCTCTTCCTCTTTCTTCTCTCCCCCCTCGGCACTACACAGGGGCCAGCTTTAGATCAGCTCACACAGCTAATCTATACTGTAAGAGCCAAAAGCTGCAGCTCTGACTTCAGGTCAGCTGTGGAGCCCAGTTTGAGTCCAGGGAAGTTTGGAAGTCACCATGGTGGAGAGCATGGACATGGAGGAGCAGCACAAGCGTTACTGCATCCGCGGTAAGCATGTAGCCATCATCTGTGCCACGGTGGTGGTGTGCTCTTTGGTGGTGGGCCTCGGGGTAGGTCTTACCAGGTCGGACACCAACACTACTACTACTCCCTCCACACCAGCCCCCACACCAGCCCCCACACCAGCCCCCACCAGCAGGGCCCACACCAGCCCCCACAGCAGGGCCCACACCAGCCCCCACAGCAGGGCCCACACCAGCCCCCACAGCAGGGCCCACCAATCCACCTCCAGCTGGCAGAGGGCCCTGCTCGCCTTCGGCTGACTCCAATGGAGACTGGAAGAACTTCCGTCTACCAAGCTACGTGAACCCGGTCCATTATGACCTGCACCTGGAGCCAGACCTGGAGGAGGACACCTACACGGGCACTGTGGACATCCACCTGGAAGTCAGCAAGCCCACCCGCCACCTGTGGCTTCACATCAGGGAGACGTTTGTCAGCGCCATGCCCAGGCTGAGGGTGCAGAGTGGGCCGGCGGACCGGAGGGAGGTGGCTGTGAAGGGCTGCTTCGAGTACGTCACTCAGCAGTACGTGGTGGTGGAGGCCGCCGAGGAGCTGCCCACCACCGGCCCAGGAGAGGTGTACGTGCTCACTTTGGACTTCCAGGGCTTTCTCAACGGATCTGTGGTGGGATTCTACCGGGTCATCTACATCGAGGGTGGGGTCACCAAGTAAGTTCTTTAATTTGATTCTGTCAGAAACATATCACAAATGTGTCAAACAACCAGAACAAAAGATAATAAAGTGACGTATAGACAGCAGACAACACAGCTTCAGTCTTTTAAGCAAACACATATTTTTCATTTCGACCAATTTCGCATTTATAAACAGTATGAAACGATTTATATATGTAACAATCTTGGGCACTATTATAATGGCCATTTAAGAGAAGCTTAGACATTGTTTAGTCAGTCCCAGCTCCTGGTCCACTCACTTTTTCTGGTGCTTTACCTGGATCACATGGCCTTCTTCAGCAGAGGAAATTGGCTCACTTGCAATAGAGATGCCATGGATGTGCAGCCGCTGAGATCTTAAATGATCCATCTCAATGAGCAGACTTCATCTAATTATAAAGACTTTGTGATACGGTGAAGACTAAGTCAAAAAGTACATTTAGCATAGCACCTTTCCGAGAACAAGAACGCTTTTCAAGTGTTTTTCAAGAACAAAAGTCCATAAAAACAGTAAAGGATAAAAAATCAAACTTAAGCAACATCAAACCTTCATAATTCCATAATGAGAAACAAGACAGCATGAGGCAGGACAAAGGCCAGTTTCAATAAGTGTGTCCTTAGCTGTCTTTAACGGCGTCAATAGGAACCACAGATGTGATGTGTAAAGGAAGAGGATTTCACAGTCTCAGAACTATCACTGCAGAGGTACGGTCTCCTTTTGTTTCAGTCAGGCTCCAGAGACAACCAGCCCCCTTGTTCAGAAAACCTTACCGGTATGTAGCATGTCAGTGATGTACTCAGGCTCTGTGTGTAAAAACGAAGGATGGAAGCTAGTGTTAAGCAGATGGAACGTTTGTGATGTGAGTCCTTCAGCAGTGTTCTAAACGTGTTCAGTTCAGGGATGACTAACTGAGTTAGGCTTTTTTCAAATCCTTTTTTTGCAGGATTTTATTGCAGTAGTCTCTCCGGGTTAATAAAAAAGCATAAGGGATCATCTCTAACTCACAATGTGATACAATAGACCGAAGTTTAGCGGTGTTTCTTAAGGAAATGTGTTAGGATTCTTTTGTCAAGCTACAACACTTTAGTAAAAAAACAAACACATTTCTGTTCCTGTTGAATTCAATCTGGGTTATTATTAGGTTATATTCAGTTTGAAGTGACACTATATCTAACATAACTTTTGAGAAACAAACCTTCTTCAGCTCTTGGTAGACGAAAAAGGGTTTATTTTGCTAATCCATGGAGAGCAGCTGGGCTCAGCTTGGTTTCAGTTACACTAGATTCCAATGGTGACACATGTTTACACTGCAGAAAAATGATCCCTCCTATCCGCCACAGAGATTTCATCTACTTCAGTCCTGAACGTTTAGTATGTACCAAACAGTCATTGTTTCATTGGCTAAATATGATACCTCATGCATACTGTGCAGCAGACAGGTCAATCCTGGGTGGGTACAAAAGTTTCATACTGAGAAGACATACTTTGGAAAGAGTGTCACTTTAAATTCAAGGTTTTGGTAAAAGTTCTACAGTGTTTATATCTAATGACCAAGGCCATGACACAGCCGTGTTGGGCAATCAATCAGCATCTGTCGCCTTAGTTTATGGAGTGCAATGGGCCTGTACCGCTTAAAGCAAATCAGTGCATGAGGAAGATACATGTTATTGAGGGGAAAAAACACCACAGTCTCTTTTTTATTCTTTATCTTATTTTCATATTGACATGCCCATCCACCATATTAGCACTTCCTGGTTCCCTCATCTCAAATCAATGTTTTTAGTTGTTTTAGTTTTAGTTAGGCGTCTGAAATAAGGTATGTATTTAATACAAACATGTTCTACAACATAAGATATGTCTTAGTAGTCTTCTCAGTGTTTTCTAGTGCGACTTTTTGTCAAGAAGCAGGCAAAGCCGTCAGTTATCTGATGTCGATTGTGTGTGTCTGGCCCCAAAAAAAAATCACATATAGGGAGTTCCACATATATGACTTGATTAGGGAAACTAACTGAATCAAAATACCTGAGATGTTCTTAATTAGAAATGACAAACATAAGTACACTATTTGTATTTGTTTTGCGGTATTTTCCTCACCGATTATGTCTCTTAAAATGATATTGGATGAAAAAAGATGAAAAGCACCTGATCTTAAAACAGATCTGCAATACTCTGTCCCTCATTTAATCACCAGAAAGATTGCTGCAACTGATCATGAACCAACAGATGCCCGCAAGTCCTTTTCCCTGCTTCGATGAACCCAACAAGAAAGCCACCTACAAAATCTCCATCACTCATGATGATAAGTATGGAGCTCTGTCCAACATGCCGCCTCAGGTAGGACTGAAGTCAGAAACTCTTACATTCAAATGATAAATGCATAGCTCTACACTGAAACTACTGACAGTATTTCAAAGTCTTCGTGATGGACAATATACTGGTGAGGCTGCTGACTTTATGAAATAAGGTTTGTGGTCAAGCTAAAGATATTTTCAGGTTTTGTTCTATGACATAAAATACATCAGTTAATACGCCACTCTTTAGCCGCCTTTAGCTTAGTGGTGGTGAGGTGAAGTCATGTGACAGTGATGTCGTTTGTTTGTAGCTTAATGTTCACTTTTTTACTTCTGGCATTTGCATTTATGCTTCAAAAAATCATAAAAGTAGCCTTAATAATGTCCAGATGACCCTGGCATACAAATAACCTCGTAAGTGTCAGAAACAGGTATTGGCCACAGATCTTTTATATTTCATATTTCAAAATCCAATGGAAAGATCCCATTGCTTTTGGGCTTTGCCAGCAACTTTGGAGAAATGCATAAACATAAATCCTCAAAATGTACAGCTCCACTAATAACTATGTATACTTACAGCTATGAATGTAAAGTATGTACAGAGTAAGTTGTGTGAAGAATTGTAGGTGAAAGGGGCATCATTACTCAAACGTTCCCATGGTGGGTAAAACAAAGAAAGAGGAAGCCAGCCTTGGAGGGAACACTTTGAATACTAAAAGCAAAGGAATGGATGTTTGTTTTTGGGCCTGGGGCTCTACAGTCTGAGTGACATGGACATTACCCAATAGTGTTTTATTTTGCCTCCCCAGGGCGCCCACTGAGCAACTGCCTGGCAATAAACTGAAGACCTCCTTTGAGAAATCTGTTCCAATGAGTACTTATTTGGTATGTTTTGCTGTGCACCAGTTTGATCATTTGGAAAGAACTTCTGCCCAAGGAATTCCTGTGAGTTTACCATTACATGTCCCCGTTAATATCACTGACTTTATTTCATGCAAAATTCCAGTACAAGCATACTTCCTGTGTCTTTTCTGCCTTTATAGTTGAGAATCTACGCCCAGCCAAGTCAGTTAAAAACTGCAGAGTATGCAGCTGACACAACCAAGGTCATCTTTGACTACTTTGAAGAATATTTCAACATGAATTACTCCATCTCAAAGCTTGGTAGGTTTATATACTTTGTTAAACATCTCAGACAATACATTTCCTTTATTCCCTCTGTTCCACATACACATTCTTTGGATTTGGGGTCAATGCGTAATTCAAATAAAAATAAACATTCTAAAGTCCTCAATTGGCCCTAGCTGTAGTTTTATTCTACCTACTTTGGACATGTTCTTAAACAGCATTATTTACAGTTGCACAATAAAACATGCAATATAATCAACTACAATTGTACCATGACAACGTTTTGTCCAACACTAAGAGAGTGTAGGGTCTTTCTACCATTATTCACCATAAATTCACTTTTTATATGTATCTAGTAATATGTATCACAACGTGTGTCCACAGTGTAAATAAAACAAAACAATCTAACCCTAACCCTAACTGAAAGCAAAGAAAAGGTCAATAAGAACCAATGGTGCCATTACCCAATCCAATGAAAGACATCTTTCAGTGTGGGCATCATGGAAATAACGGTTGTGTCAGAAAATGTAAAAGTGTTTCTTCAAAAGACACATCAGAGGAGGTACGTCCAAGAAATATGTTATGGTAGAGCTAGAGGAATGATCAGTTAATCCAATTTTTTTATCAAATTAAGAGATGAAAAACAAGCATTCAAATTTTGATGACAATTTTACCAGCATCTGTCATTAAACAGTGTCACTAGAACAAGTAAGTCAGTAATGCAATGACACACATGATAAGCGGAACGTCAGTGGACTCTTTGTGCTGTTTTGATCCAGATAAGATAGCCATCCCTGACTTTGGCACTGGTGCCATGGAGAACTGGGGCCTGATCACCTACCGGGAGACCAACCTCCTGTACGATGCTAACCAGTCCTCGTCCTACAACAAGCAGCGAGTGGCCAGTGTCATCGCCCATGAGCTGGTCCACCAGGTACCCATATTATGTTTAAATTGCTCTGCTTATTTTATTCTTTCCAGCAGAAAATAACCTTAAATATGAAAATGTGCTCTTACTGAATTATATACACAAATATGTGAAAACAGAGTGGTGGACGCAGTTACCATTAACATAAAACATACCATAATCAGTAATGTGTATAACCATCCACATTTCAGATAACCAGATGTGTCAGGGGTTTTAATAATAAGGCAAACATAATGGTGAAACATCACAGCTGTGGAAAAGAAACAGAGTGTTGGTGAACTGTAGGGCACAGGAGAGTGAACAATTACATAGCCATGGCAGTAGGATTGGAGTAAACCAAAATAAATGTTCCCAAACCTGGTGTTTGGAGAGCATACTCAATTATATGCAATTAACCCTGAATGTTTGTCCAAGAGTCAAGAGTGTGGTTGATCTTGGAGGATAGAGAAGTTCATATTATAGCTTCAGCTGGTCTTTAAATGCTTCAGATTATTGTCTTTGTGTTCAAATTTAGAACTTTAGTTATTGTACTGTTTCATCTCAGTGTCATCATTCAACTATCAACAAAACGTTAGCTCACTTCTCTGATGGCTTTTATCTTAATTTCCCTCACAGATAGAAAGATCTGTATCAACAAGGACACAGATAGTTCAGAGTTCTAGTTGTAAAAGTTTAAAATAGCTTCATGTGCTATTGTTCAAGCTTTTTTATGATGTACGTATCTTCCTAAGATATCAGCTATATTACAATAAGGAGGGAAACCAAGAGGAAGCCAAGAAAGTGTTATGAACTCTTCAAAGTCACGAGACTGAGGTTAATTCGTATATGACGATGTGCAAATAGTCCTCTTACTGGCAAGCTTTAATGAGCCCCATTATAATGTACTGAAGGATAAACCTGGACCTTGAGTGTAAGCTTGCTATAGCAAATTATAGCTGATAGCGACAGTCATCTATTTTGTCAATATCTGTCAAAATGTCTCCCAGGTAAATGTAATGAATGAATGATAATAAATATCGTTTTTTTTTTTACAAAGCTTCTAAGTTTTCCCTAAAAGCAGAGGCGTTGCTTAGCATTTGCAAAGCTAGCACTGGTGTTAGCATTCCATGTCAGTTTGCCAGCATTACTGAACTGAATAGCCTATGCTCTTGTAAACTTTAACGTTTATTTGGTTGATAATTACGGGGGAATATAAACAATGATTTATTTAGTTGTCTTTAAAGCCGCATTAGTTATTTCAATTCAGTACAATGAAAACATTTCATTCATCCACAGCAGGGCATTAAAAAGTGCTTGTTTGTTTGCTAATATGCACAGTGATATCTGTATGAGTTATATCTTGAAGAGACTAATCTGGTTCTTATTCCATTACTACTGATTCTTTGTAACAAAATCCAATAAAACTGAAAGTCATAATTGACGCTGCATTCAACCCATCCTGGTATCTACTCTATTTCAATTGAACTCTATCCTTCCTGGATATGTTTTATATTATAAGCCATCTTCAGGAGACTTACTTCTTCACTCACATTTTAGGCTAAATAGGTTTTTAAGTTTCCAATATAGTTGGTTGTAATATTGTGCTTTTGTTCTTGTTTAGTCTTGTGGGAAATGCTGTAATCCGTTTGGATTAGTTAGGCAAAAATATATTCATAATAATGGTAATGTTGCCACCTCCTCACTGTTAGGGCTTCTTAGGCCCAATCCCAAACCACCCCCTACACCCTACCCCTATACCCTACCCCTCCGTTTGCGCGTTCGCGCGGAGGGTCGCCACATTAAGTGCTGTTCCAAACCAACGAGTGTGGAGCTGGTGTGGAGGGGGAGTGGGCTATCAAGCCCTCAAACAGCGAGTCTGCAGCGGTGCTGACTGGAGACCGGTCTCTACCTGACCGGAGTCACGCTGTGTGTGTCCGTCAGGAAAAACGCTGTTTACAAACAGTTCCATCAAACATCCACTGATAAACTGCGATGTTAACAACCTCATGATAACCTCATATGTTTTAACTTAGGATCATATACCTGTGGTTAGTCTAGAAAAAGGTAAATGTGTGCATTTTATTATAAAGTTGTGTATATTTACAGACTGTTGCAAAAACTAAGAAGCTTATAAACATCAGGTTTAAAACTAAAAGAGTTTTACAAAAAAGTAACACAATGAAAGATGTTTGGAGTTTTATTTGAGTTCTTAATTTACATTTTTTGTCTAAGAGAAGCTGATTTGAAACCGTTGTTACATACAGTTACGGCATTTCCTGTTTCTGCCGGAGAGAGGGGAGTTTGTCCCAAAGCTTGCCGCTGTATTTACTCCCTCCATCTGACAGGAGGAGCCTCGTTGAGCTGCGAGTGTGGCTACAGACGGAGTTCACTCCGCCACGGAGGGGTAGGGTCGAGGGAGTGGTTTGGGATTGGGCCATAAAGTCACACATTGTCACATTGGGAGCCTACCAGGTTTGAAAGGAATTATACCTTTTAAACTTATAAATATTCAATTGTAAATGTCTTAGCAGGAAGCAATTCAATCAGTAACAGATCTGAATACGGGGAGGGTTCTAACTGAGATAGCATCAAATATATTGAATAAAGTGAGAGAACAGGCAGGGGCGGGGCCAGAGGGGTCGCCTTAATAATGTTTTTTTAGAGAGTAGGGCTTTCATTTTTACAGTTTTACTTTTTAAAAGTGATTTAAATGTGCCACCCTGATCTGAGTCTGTGACCCAGAGTGGCCACCCCACCAACACGTGTCTAGACCCGCCCCTGAGAACAGGGTAAATACAATATAACTTCCTTTATTGAAACTCATATCCGTTGTCTTCTCCAGTGGTTTGGGAACATTGTGACCATGGATTGGTGGGATGACCTCTGGCTGAATGAGGGCTTTGCCAGTTTCTTTGAGTACGTTGGTGTGGAGAAAGCTGAACCAAGCTGGGGCATGGTGAGTTTTATTGAAGGAACAACAATGAATCCTGGTCTTTTTGAGAACTCCCTGAGACGTGCCTTGTTTCCTCCTGTGGTTAACAGCGAGACATCATGATCATCAGTGATGTGCTTCCTGTCATGGTGGACGACGCCCTCCTGTCCTCTCACCCCATCATCGTGGACGTGTCGACCCCAGCAGAGATCACTTCTGTGTTTGACGGCATCTCATACAGCAAGGTCTGACTACACAGTAAACCTTGCTTCCCATGGGAACAATGACATATTAGTTACTCACAATGTATCTTAATGCAACAACTATCTGTAATTATCCAGGGAGCGTCCATTCTCAGGATGTTGGAGGACTGGATGGGTAAAGAGTTGTTCAGAGACGGATGTCGAGTAAGTCACAGACAGTTGTTGATATTTATCAATGGATGTAACTCTTTGGATTAATGCTCATTCAAGTTCCAAGTGTTCCAGCAGCGAGTTAATGAAAAGTCTGTTTTTCCTTTTCTCCTTTCACCAGAAATATTTGAAAGACTACCACTTCCAGAACGCCAAAACAGCAAACTTCTGGGCATCTCTGGCCAACGTATGTTCCATTACATACATGAAAAGGGACATTCTGATATTAAATATGTATCAAAAAGGACATAACACTTACCACATCCTGACTCCAGCTCTCACGTTATCTCATATACATGGGATTGATATTAATCTGAATTTCTCACTCTCAGAGTTTTTAGTAGTTACCAATGTCTGCTTTGTCTCCCAGGTGAGTGGGTTGCCGGTTGCAGACGTGATGGATACATGGACCAAACAAATGGGTTATCCTGTGCTGGCTCTCACTGTCACAGAGGCAAACGCCAAACTGAGCCAGAAGAGATTCCTCCTGAATCCTGAAGCTGATCCCAGCCAACCCCCTTCACCTCTGGAGTCAGTGCTACAGAGAAGACCCTTTCATCCTTAGCAGTGTCCAATTTGATTTGGATTACCCATCAAACCCCACAAAAGAGACTATGCCAGATTCTGTGTCAATTAATAGATTTTCTTATAAAAAACAGTTCGGTTCAGACTTCCTTTCTCATTATTGATCCCTTCTCCATGTTGAAAGACAATATGATGAACCGCAGAGTTTAAAAGTCAAAAATATTAAGATATTCGTTGTGGTAGTATTTATTAATTGTTTTACAGTCCACAGCTGAAGAGAAAGTCTTTTTGTATCAATAGTTGGTAGAGACCAAAGCAGAGCAAAAAGGAGAAATCACAAGTGCAGCATAAGGGAAATTCTAATGTATTATTCAAACATGACCTAAAAAGATTTAAATGTAGGTGTCACAGTCTTTTTTTTACGATATTATTGACCACTAATATGGTTTTTTTACAGGTACAAGTGGACAATTCCAGTCAAATGGCACTCTGTGAAAAGCGACAAAAATATGTCGGTAATATTTGACAAGAGCAACACAGGTAGTGTGTATAATCATTTTCAGAACATTCAAATGATTACAAAAAATCATCAGCACTCTGTCTTTAAACCTGCCAGTGACCTATGTTACATGGTAACTATCTTTTTTTCTCGAGAAAATGTATCATATTTTGACGTATTTCGTCTAATGCAAATAATTAGTTTGACTGTTGTTTTTCAGAGCTTCCCATCATGAACTACTCTCCCTCAGAGGACGGGCTGCTGAAGGTGAACAATGATCACATTGGATTCTACAGAGTTAACCACGACAACCTCATGTGGAACGCTATCAGTGAACAGCTTCTAAACAACCACCTGGTAACGCTCGGCTCACACACACAGCACATGTACACACTCCCCAGCATGCTAGGGCGGTGGTGGCGAAGTCCCAGCAAGACCAAGTGCTACCGAGGTGTCCCTGAGCAAGGCACCGTTCCCTACACTGCTCCCCGGGCGCCGTTCATAATGGCAGCCCACTGCTCCTAACACTAGGATGGGTCAAATGCAGAGAAACCATTTTGTTACATAGTATTATGTGATGACAATAAAAATGAAAAAATAAATAAATAAAGCAAATGCTGTAGAGTTCAGATAAGATAAGATCATCAGATAGACCTTTATTGATCTGATAGGGAAATGCAGGTGTTTAAGCAGCAACAGGAATAGTTGTCTTCATGGTTGCAGTATTTATAGTAGGTTATGTCTCAGTTTGACTGCTGCTAACTTGGGTGATTCCAATGTTAGTGAGCTTAGGTGTTGTGTGATGAAGAGCATAGACACAAACATTTCACATACTTCACGACGGACAGAATCTTTTTGCACAGCGCGATGACAAACAGTACTGTGGAGTTTTTGTTATCCACGTGAAGCTCTCTCATGAAAGCCAATAAGAATTGAGATTTTCTATGTCTCGTCGCTGATGTCCTTATGTAGTTGAATCAGTAAAAGGAAAAATCTGTCTGGCTGTGGGCAATTTAATCATGCGCATAGAGCTAAGGTACATAATGTTCAATAGAGACTGGCTGACAATCAATGTCTGTATATGTATTTACAATCCACAGATTGTCTATGGTATGATCGATAAGTCACTGCCTTGTTAATGCCACATTACCTTATTTTCATAGGATGGATCAACTACAATGGTAGCTTAGCCTAGCCCTGGTCAAACCAATGTACATTAAGAAAACAAGCATATTAAAAGTTGTATGAGAAATGATCTCGCAGTGTGTGTCTCAGGCGGTTGTTGTGCACCTAGAAACAACACAAAGAATGTCTCGACATAGCTAGGGTTTTCACAACATCGAATAGGTGTAATACATGTTATTTCACCCATTGCTGATGATGAAACATTGTTGGTATGTAGGTACCACGCAAGTAACGCAAGGCAAAAAATGTGCTTCACGTCAGTTGTGAACACACCTTTACTGTAAGTACCACTTATGCTTAATAAAGGGGAATAAATCTGAGAGTCAGAGAAAATAAGTTTATGGGAGAGAAAGATATAGCACCTTTGTGCAGTATAAATAGACTTTCTACTGCAACATTTATCTCAAGACGGTATTTTGGTATTTTATGAATTGAAAAAAGAACAAAAATAAACTATATTATAACTTCACTGTTTACATCTCTGTTGCACTATTAGCATGCATTGAGCCAACATTAGCACTTAAAGCTGACAGACACATGCCCATTATTTCAAATGTAGGGCTGTAATCAAAATCTTAAATTGAAATATTTTTCACAGACAACCTGAGCTAAATGTCCCTTTTATGACATAGTACTGTTATGTTTTATCTCACTATCCTGAGAGAGCTCACTGTGTTGTTGGAAATGTTAATCTCTTATTTGACTCAGTTTTCTAACTTTAATAGGAGTTAGATGCAGCTGATCGCACGAGCTACATCGATGATGTTTTTGCTCTTGCAAGGTAAGATTTAAGCCCAAAGCACTGTATGAACATTACTGACATTCAATTCTGAGATTTTAATTTCTGCTTCCTGTTCAGGGCGAATGTTATAGATTATGGTAATGCCTTGAACCTGACAAATTACCTGAAAAATGAGACGGACTACATCGTGTGGGAGCGTGTGTCCTCCTCCATCGCATATGTCCGGGGCATGCTGTCAGACAAACCGTTCTACCCAAAGTTCCAGGTAAAGGAGCTGAGCATCCTCATGTTTTGAAGTGCAACATTTAAAACCTAGAATCTCGTTAACCTTTAAGTTTATCTCAAGTTTCAATAAGCCACCTCAGCAGAATCAACACAGAAGTCTTTTTCACACTATTTTGTGACATTAAACTTTAATCAGAAATCCAATCATTAATTGAACGCTGTGGTTGGTGTATAAAAGCTTCAGGGAATAATGGTTTGATTTTTATGAAAGAGACATCTATAATGTATAAAACCATATAGTAAGTGAAGATAATAGATTAATAATTATTCTATATCTGTATGCACGTTTTTTGCTTGCCTTTATTTGATTCTGGTGCTGATTAGTTTTAGATTTTTGTTAATTTTTCAAAATGTACAACACTTGTTCAGATGCTGTTTTAAATGTTTCTCTATATATATGACATTTTTCCCATGACTTTATCACCATCTATTTTGGTAATCTTATAATTTCTCGCATTATATTCTTGTATGTTTTTTTTCAAAATAGTATAACTTTTTTCTTGAAATCAACTTTATATCAATATATACAATAAATTGATATCAATTGGATTTTATCAATAATAATCTGCTTATATTGATCAAGGAAAAGCTGCCCATTACGGTTGTGTATAGTTCCCTGGATTTTATTAAGATCAATATTTCTGTATATTTCCTCAAGCAACTGTTCCGAGACCACGTTAAAGCCATCACAACACAACTGGGATGGGAGGATGTGGGAACACAGACTGAGAGGTACAGCAGGAAGTGACAGTGTGTGATATACACACAGGACTCCTTTACTTTGTACAATCATTACATCTGGTGACTGTAACAACACCTTTGCTCATACAGAATGTGTCTTTGCTCTTCTGTGCTAACCGGCTTTACCACCCACTGTAAAGTGTCATGTGACTGTTGTCCCACAGGTTGCTGAGGGAGACTGTGCTCGGCATCTCCTGTCAGATGGGGGATGAGGCGTCACTGAATGAAGCCTCTCGCATTTTTGACCAGTGGATTAGTGGCAGTCTCAGGTATCACCACGCTAGTGTCACATTTTCCTCAATAAAAAGACAACAAGGTATTCTAAATGGGCAGACCTATGGTTTCTTTGAATATAGTTGTTCTCATTCATTGCTAGTTCATATTAGCACAATAGACATCAGCACTAGTGCTGTGTCTCAGTTTGCGTAGTCTTAGTAAAATGTGCAGATTTGAGTGCGTCCCAAAGTGAAGTATGTATAACAGTATAAGTAAAGGATGATTCACTAATAAAGGTCAATAATGACCAACAACCGCCATCTTGGCTACGTAACGGAAGTTGCAAAACAAGCCACAATTGAGGTTGCTCATGAAAACACAGCTCTATATTAATAAAAGTTATAATTTGTTTTCACTTTTTATCTAACCTACCACTATACTGGTGTCCAAAAGTAACCAGCCTTCATTTTGTTGGGTAATTGAGCAGTCTGCAAGTATTTCTAACCCCAAAGTTCCTCGCTAGGGAGCTAGCTAGCTAACAGTGGCAATCGCCAATTTTAGTAACAGGAATAGTAGCCGTGTGCGTTTCGAGACAACAATACACTGACACAAATGTTCATGGTATAAATGAAAGTGTTCTCAGTGAAGTATTCAAATTGAGACACAGCATATGTAACATCTAATTATTCAAATTTAGAAACCATTGCTGTTTGATTCTGACAAACCTGACATTTACAATTGATGTTTCAAACCTCAACCTTATTCAACTGTGTTGCAATATGACACATGTTGCCACAAGCTTTCTATAATAACAAGAACACTATTTGTTACAGAGATATTGTTTGAGAATAATGTTTTCCATCCCTCTTCGATATTCAAATGTATTTCCCTTTTGCCCTGCAGCAGTGTAGCGGTGAACCTGAGGCTGTTGGTCTATAGATATGGCATGAAGAAATCTGGTGACGCAGCGAAGTGGAACACAATGTTCAATAAGTACAAAGAGACTACTCTGGCTCAGGAGAAGGACAAGCTGCTGTATGGACTGGCCTCTGTGGAGAACGTGGAACTCCTCTACAAGTAATCATACACAGAGTTTACATGATACTATTAAAGAAGTGTTGTTGCATCGCCTGGGTTAGACTGGGTTTGTACAGCCATGTTGGAAATATTTAAATGTTGGTGTACTACAACAATGTGAACATTTCCAGTTACCTAGAACACTTTTTGAGTGTGGACGCAAACCCTGTAGAAAGAAACTGTTTATAGAGATAACCTGTCCCTCAGGCTGCTGGAGGCCTCTAAAGATGAGAACGTGGTCAGGAGTCAGGATCTCTTCACTGTGGTGAGATACGTGTCCCTCAACCCACTGGGGCAGGACATGGCCTGGGAATGGACCACGCTCAACTGGGACTACCTGGTCAACAGGTGAGGGCAACAAGGTCTATGACCTGACAAACAGAGAGAGACAGTAACACACTATCAAGCAAGCAACATCAAAGTCAAAGTCAAAGTCAAAGTCAGCTTTATTGTCAAGAATTCTACATGTTGTTCATCCAGAAATCTCGAAATATCGTTTCCCGCAGTCCTACAGTGTGACATATATACATCAAACAAAAAACAAAAAGGGCCTAGATAAACATGGTATACATTAAACAAAACAAAGGGCCTAGATCAGGGGTTTTCAAAGTGTGGGAAGGTGAGCCTCCCCTCAGAGAACATATGAACAGCCGCGCCCCCCCTCCCAATTATTATTGCTATTATTATTATTATTATTATTATTATTGTTGTTATTACATTGCATTTCAAAGAGGTCCAGTAAGAGAACATGTCATTAAATGCTCTGTTTTCGCTGTCTACCTTCCGCCATTTGAAATTATTCCGACTGTTTCTCTCCTCTTGTCTCGTCTCTGTGAGTGTTTGAATCTATTGTGCTGACTCACTGACTGCACCGATTTGATTGGCTGAGTAGCGTCACCTCCTTAAAACATTAAACAATCACTTTTTAAAACCTTTTTATCTTTATGTTTTAAACATATTGTATAAAACTCCTCCACTACTTGGACTATTCCTTGCACCCCTATAGAATAAGCCCGAATGGTCTCAACCATATTGCATCAGTAATAACGTGCACTTGTTGACTTGTTATAACAAGATCGCAAGGACACTGGTAGCGATCGTACAATTGAGTGTTGTTCAGTTTGTGTGTTGTGGAACATGCGTGTCCGTGCATGAAAATATACCACACACCCAATTACAATAGCATGTTCAATTCACTACCCTGGAAGTTAATAAAGTTGTTAAAGTTGGAACAGCCTGTGGACAGCCGTTCTTCCTTGCATGTCAGTCGCCGACACCTTCTTACAGAGGACAGGCACATCTAGCTGCAGCACGACCCGTATATTTTCGCACGCCGTGTTCTCAACACATATCTTTTAAACATTTTTAACATTTTCAACATCGTGGATACATCCTTATATGCTCCCGGCAACACACTGAACGTCAACTTTATCTCCTTATTACACTCACCCCTACTTTAGTGGGAACAATGAGTCTGCGTCTTTGATGCACACAGGAATAAACGCAGATCATCCTCTGGCTGCAGCCTTGACCGGCACTTCCTTTGATCAGAGTCAATGCGGAAAACCCGCACTCACACAGGTAGGTGGAGGTGAAGGGAGTGAGCACTTTAACAGCCTTTTTGGCGAGGTGGGGGAACTCGGTCTCCACAGACAGGCAAAAGTGTGCAAATGTCACTTTACTCGTCTTTTTCTCGTTATTATTTTTTCTCACGCTGCGCCTCCCCTGAAGCTCTCTGGCGCCCCCCAGGGGAGGCGCGCCTCACACTTTGAAAACCGCTGGCCTAGATAACCGGGGTATACAGTTTAAAATGTTAATAATATATTTAAGTGTTCAAAGTACAGTTTCAGTGCAGTAGCAGCGGAGATGGGCAGAAAAGTGACTGGTGCTGGAAGAGGGAAGTTGGTTGTGTGTGTGTGTGTGTGTGTGTGTGTGTGTGTGTGTGTGTGTGTGTGTGTGTGTGTGTGTGTGTGTGTGTGTGTGTGTGTGTGTGTGTGTGTGTGTGTGTTGTGTGTGTGTGTGTGTGTGTGTGTGTGTGTGTGTGTGTGTGTGTGTGTGTGTGTGTGTGTGTGTGTGTGTGTGTGTGTGTGTGTGTGTGTGTGTGTGTGTGTGTGTGTGTGGGGGGGGTGTATTAGAGTCCAGGACCATTTGGGGCAGGGGAGAAAGGTCGGAGGCAGGGTGGAGAGTTCAGGGGAGAGATGTCAGAGAGAGAGGGAGGGAGGGGAGAGAGTTCAGCAGCCTGACCGCCTGGTGGAGGAAGCTGTTGCCCAGCCTGGAGGTGCGCGAGCTGAGGCTGAGGAACCTTCTTCCTGAAGGCAGGCGGCTGAAGAGGCTGTTGGAGGGGTGGGTGGAGTGCTTTGCGGGTGAGGCGGGTGTTGTATATGTCCTGTAGTGAGGGGAGTGAGGCACCGATGATCCTCTGGGCAGAGTTCACTATGCGCTGCAGGCTCTTGCGGTCGGCGGCGGTGCAGCTTCCGAACCACAGCGTGATACAGCTGCTGAGGATGCTCTCGGTGGGGCCTCGGTAGAAGGACAGCATGATGGGGGTGATGCTCCGGCTCGCTTGAGCTTCCGGATGAAGTACAGGCCCTGCTGGGCTTTCCTCGCTAGTGCGGTGGTGTTGTTTTCCCAGGTTAGGTCATCAGTGATGGTCACCCCAAGGAATTTGGTGCTGGTCACCTGCGTCACAGCAGCGCCGTTGATGGTCAGGGGGAGAGGGGGTCGACGGTGGGTTCTCCTGAAGTCAACAACTATCTCCTTTGTTTTCTCCAGGTTGAGGAAGAGGTTGTTGTTTTGGCACCACAGGGCCAGCTGGTTCACTTCCTTCCTGTAGTTAGTCTCATCGTTGTTGCTGACCCACCACAGTAGTGTCGTCTGCAAACTTCACGATGTGGTTGGTGCTGAAGATGGGTTTGCAGTCGTGGGTCAGCAGAGTGAAGAGAAGGGGGCTGAGCACACATCCTTGGGGGGCCCCCATGCTCAGTATGAGGGTGTCTGAGGTGTTATTGTTGACCCGTACAGCTTGTGGTCTCTCTGTGAGGAAGTCCAGCAACCAGTTGCAGAGAGAGGGGCTGAGGCCCAGGTGTGTAAGTTTTTGTACAAGCTGCTGGGGGATGATGGTGTTGAATGCTGAGCTGAAGTCTATGAATAGCATTCTGACATATGGGTCCTTAGTCTTAGTCTTAGCCTTAGTGTTAGTGTCCAGGTGTGTGAGGGCTGGGTGGAGAGCGGAGGAGATTGCATCCTCTGTGGACTGTTTAGCTCGGTAGGCAAACTGAAACGGGTCCAGTGATGGGGGGAGGGTGGATTTGATCTGCTTCATGACCAGCCTTTCGAAGCACTTCATGATGGTAGAAGTTAGTGCGACGGGGCGGTAGTCGTTGAAGCCGGATGGAGATGACTTCTTTGGCACTGGAATGATGGTGGTTTCCTTGAAGCACGAGGGAACAACAGCCTGGCTCAGGGAGATGTTAAAAATGTCTGTGAGGACATCTGTGAGCTCTTCCGCGCAGTCCTTCAGCACACGACCAGGAATGTTGTCAGGTCCTGCAGCCTTGCGGGGGTTAATCCTCAGCAGTGTGCTCCTCACACTGGCTGGTGAAAGACGCAAAGCCTGGTCGTCGGTGGGGGGGGGTGGTTTTCTGCGCAGGTGTGTTGTTCTGTGCTTCAAAGCGTGCAAAGAAGCCGTTGAGGTTGTTGAGCAGGGAGGAATAACTGTCACAGGTCTGTGGCGGTAGTTTGTAGTCCGTTAGGGTCCTTATGCCCTGCCACAGGCTCCGTGAGTCCCCGCTATCCTTGAAATGTCCTGTCATTTCTCGGGTGTATTCTTGTTTTGCTTTCCTGATGCCACGGGACAGGTCAGCCCTGGCTGCTTTCAGCCCAGCTGGATCTCCAGCTCTGAAGGCGATGTTGCGGGCCTTCAGCAGCGTGTGGACCTCCCCTGTCAGCCATGGCTTCTGGTTAGCCCGGATGGTGATGGCTCTGTTTTGTGTCACATCGTCAATGCACTTGGTGATGTAGCCTGTGACTGTCTCTGTGTATTCTTGTATGTTGGTGTGATGGTTGTATGTGGCTGCCTGCTTGAACATGTCCCAGTCTGTAGTGTCAAAGCAGTCTCTGAGTGCAGCTGTGCTGTCCTCTGACCACACCCGAACCTGTTTTGAAACCGGTTTGGTGGCTTTTACCCTGGGTCTGTAGGCCGGTTCCAGCAGAACAGTGAGGTGGTCAGAGAGGCCGATGTGGGGGAGGGGGGATGCCTTGTATGCTCCCTTGATGTTGGTATAGACCAGGTCTAATGTGTTTTCCCCCTGGTTGGAAAATCAACATGCTGATATATTTTAGGCAGCACAGTTTTTAAGTTAGCGTGGTTCAACCAGAGTGATGTTAATATTTGGAGATTATCATGCTGAACAAAACGTGCAAATATCATTGATGTTGGTTTGGAAATTGGTGGAGAGTCTCCGGGAAAGAAGGGAAAGTCTGAGGGCATCTGGTGGATGGATGAAAAATGGCAATGAAGGGACCTGGGTAATATAAAAGGGAATATTGCTGGAGAGAAAACACTTGGTTTTTAATGTGATTTGCTGATCAGGGTCATGCATTTTCTTTCTCTACAGGTACACCATCAATGACAGGAACCTTGGTCGCCTTCTGGGTCAAATCACCACCAGCTACAACACTGAGCTGCAGCTGTGGAAGGTTGGTACTGTCCTTTTGTGCAAATATCTACGACTTTGGTTCATTAAATACTGGTGTCTTTGTTATACTGTTGTTTATATGTTTGGTTTCAGGCAGTTTACCTTTTTTTATTTTGCTGCTCTAGTGCAGGTCGTAAATGTGTCTTCCCAGTAACTTACTAAATCTCTTCTTTAATAAATGCTCCCAGTAGGCTTGAAAAGGGCTATGAACATTGTTGTGAGCCAGTTTTACTGCAGAAAAATGTATCACAAGATCAATATAGCAACAACTTAGCTTAGAGTTTTATTTACTGATGCCTCTTAAGGGAAAAAGTGGATATTTTAGTATTTGAGGCAAAGAAAGTTGAGTCGTTTTCAGACTTGAAACATATTTCTCTCTGCCGATTCCATAGATGGAGCATTTCTTCCTCAAAACACCGGATGCTGGTGCCGGGGCGATGCCCAGGCAGCAGGCGCTGGAGACAGTGAGGAACAACATCGAGTGGATCAGGACCAATGAGGAAGAGATCAGCGTGTGGCTGCAGAATAACGCCCTCTAAAGCTGCACCAGTGTGAAACCCTGCAGGGATAACTGTACATACATATGGCCTTTACCATTCACTGCACACAGGGCCAGGCTTGGTTAGGTTAGTGTTCTTTTGAAGGGCCACAAACAGGGCTGCTGATCTGAATTAACATTGAAAAACTGAAATCCAAACAGATATTCACTTTCTAACACATTGGTGTCTTACACTTATCTGATTTCCAACATTCCAAGTGTCCGTTCCCAAGTACCATTTGGCTAATTGCCGGACTTTATATTATATTTAAACTATCTAAAACTTCCCCTTCACTGCTATCATCAATATTAAAGCATTCTCAGGTCAGTTAGGTTGGGTTCTAAACAAGTAGAGATCATGTCTGTCCAATGTTTACTGACTGAGTTTTAGATACTAACGCTGTGATGTAGTGATTACTTTTTGTTCTAGTCCGACCCAGCAAGGTCTCCCTCAAGTTAAAGCCAAGAGGATTTTCCCATTGAATTTCTGAATATTGCGTAAAATCTTTGTGGCAAACAAACTTTTATGATGCATGTTTTGTTCAGCAGGATAATCTCCACATATTAAAAACACTTTTATAAAAGTTGAAGTGCAAATGCAAACGCTAGAGATAAAAATTCTACAGAATGCTAAAAACGAAAAACATGACGGTCACATGACTTCACATCACCACTGCTAAGCTAATGGCAGCTGATGATTGGCGTGATGACGTTTAGAAGTCTCATTTAGAACTTAATAGCTACCGGCATTTATTTTGCACACAGATGCTTGAATAATTCTCTAGTGGGGTATCATAGAACAAAACGTGAAGGTCACGTAAGTTTGTGTTCACCACAGATCTTATTCCAGGCATCTAACTAAAAACACATTCATAAAAAGTTGATTGTTAGGAGAGTGAGCCCTGAAGTGCTGACTCATTCCTGTAACACTTTATTACAGTTCAACATCACCAGTGTTCTCCCATCATGTGGCCGCCCAGTTTTCCTTTATTGCAGCCTTTTCCCTCTGTAGTTCTTTATCCTTTTTGATTTGTTCCTGATCTTGTGGTCATCACATAGAGGATGATAATACAGCCTTTTCTCTGCAGAGTGCAGCCATGATCTTCAGACCCACATATAAAATATGATGATGAATTCTGCCTTAGTACACACCACACTACATTTGTGTGTGTTTTTGTATTTGTGAGCAGAAATGGAGATGAAGAGTTGAATGAATAAATGTTTACTACAATGCTTCTTTCATTATTTAATGTTGGTGGGATGGAACATTTTCGTATAGTGAGTACAATTTTGAGTCTTTTATAGAATCTATGTATTTTTACATTAAGTTTATGCATACAAAACCACACCAGAAAAAGAATCCAACATGTGTTACATGCTTATATTTATTCCAATAATGCATGAGAAAAGCATCATTCTGAGAGTGTGTAAGATACACAGAAAGCATTTTATTGTCAGTTAGTTATTGAAGTATACCAAGAATCGGAATGTACACAGTAAACACCACAGAGAAGATTATTAAGAGAGAAAAACTGACATTGAATCATGTCACTTCATCATAGCAGTCTTCTTAACATGGTTTTAAGAATACAATAAGGTTCTGAAGGAATTTCACCTCACTGGGTCAGAGTTTGTTGGGAGGTTGTCATGGGAACCTGAGTATTGATGGTGATTCGCTGCCTGGTTTGACATCGGACCATTCCTATGATGGCTCTTCTGAACCTGCAGGAAAAGATCATCCACTCACTATTACAGTCAAATACAGTACGACATTAAAGTAACCCCATAACTGCCCCTCACAAGTACATTCAAATACATGTATAATGTTCATTTTGACTTAAAGGGGACATATCATGCAAAATGCACTTTCTGATGTCTTTTATACATACATATGTGTCCCCGGTGTGTCGGGGAACTCACGCAGCATCAGAAAATAAAACCCTCTCTCTTTTCCTCCGTACCCAAATCTCTGAAAACGGTGGTGCAACGGAGCTGATCCAGATTTGCAGCCGATATGACTTAATATCGGCGGCGGACCCACAGCACTATAGTAGTTATAAGACAGGGGTATGTGTCCAAATGAGATTAAGTACCTGATAAGAGAGTGATTTAAGACCCTCATAAACCTTAGTCCTGCCTCCAAATCCCTTTGAAGTGGCACCTGTCACTCTGACATCTGACCTTTGACCCTCTTATCTTTTATGACTTGTTTGGTTATTGTTTTATTGCCCCCTCATAAAGGATGTTGCACAATGGATGGGGGTTGATAAGACTTTACACATCTGACCTTTGACCCTTTTATCTTTTATGACTTGTATGTTTTATTGTTTTATGGCCCCTTCATAAAGGATGTTGCACAATAGGGGGGTGATAAGACTTTATTACCCCTTTGATGTGAAACCTGTTAGAGTGTCTTAGTAGGTCATTATTTGTCAATGATGAAACCAGATATAGTTAATGATGATAGTATGACTTGTTTAGCTGTTTTATAGCCCCTAATAAGGATATTGCTCAATAAGGGGTTAATATTACTTATTGACTCTTTTGTGGTAATATAAGGTTATATGACATTTTATTGTTTAATTACTTTATTAACTATAAGGAAGCCCCTTTGAAGTTGTGTTTCCCTGGATGATGGAAATAGTGCCATGTTAGGGGGACAATACGGAGCTCATGAGTCCGCCCTTTAAGGCTCTTGAAGCGGACAAAGAGAGGTGTATTTACTGGTGTGTTTCCCTGGATGATGTAAATAGTCTAATGGCGCATTTCCACTACACGGCCTCGCTCGGTATGGCTAGGCCTCGTTAGGACTGGCTCACTTTATGGCGCATTTCCATTACAGTTTAGGAACTGGGGTAGTATCTATAGTAACGCAGTGTAGGCGGAGCCGTGACGTCATCTTCAATGAGAACCCCAGAAAAACAACACAGCCGTTAGCTGTTAGCACTCAGAGCTCACAGCTCCTCATATCTGTTCAGAAACTAGACAAAAGTTAAACAAGTACAAACCACAGACTGCCTGTGTCATGGCGAATACAGTCGCTGGTTTATTTATGTCTGTATAGGCCATTGTTGTGAGTGTGGATGGTCGGAGCATATACTGCGTTAGCTTAGCCAATCTCCATTTAGAAAACACGCATTTTAAAAGGTTTTTCGCCTGCCGTCTGTCTGCAGACTTGACAAAGCATTAATTCATGGTTTTTACTAACCGGTATCAGTATGTTGTTACTTCGGCATCATTTTGAAACGTGTATTACAATTAAATCACGGTCAAATATGTCCATCTTGTTGTAGTTGTTGCCCCCTTGCCAGCGATTCTCTCTCTAGTTTAGCATACTCAGCCCGACTCAGCCTCGTTGTTCCTGGCCCTAGAACCACGATTTTATGGGGCCAGAAAAACTGTGAATTAGGACCCGCTAGCCGGTACTAGGCCATGTGGAAACGCAACCAAAGACGGGCCGCTGACGTCACAGCTCTCTTAAACGGGGCTCCGCGCTGTAGTGGAAACGCGCCATAAGTGCCATGTTAGGGGGACATCACGGAGCTCAGGTGTCCGTCCTTTGAGGCTCTTGGAGCGGACAAAGAGAGTTGTATTTACTGGTGTGTTTCCTTGGATGATGTAAATAGTCTAAGTGCCATGTTAGGGGGACATTACGGAGTTCAGGAGTCAGCCATTTGAGGCTTTGTTAACATTAATGCTTTTTGCTTTATTTGTGTTACTGAGATATTTTTAGATACACTTTGAAGTGTGCAACACTTTTACAACTGGTAGAATATTAAGTACCTTGTAAGGAATTGGGTTTCTTTATAGGCAGTTTGTGATTTTTAGGGCTGGTTCGGTGAGACAATGCAGTTTTGATCATTTCAAGTTTCAAGTTTCAAGGCTTTTATTGTCATCTGCACATTAGCTACAGTGTAGATATGGCAATGACAAACATAGGTCACAGGCTCCTCCAACAGTGCAACATATATATATATATAGAGGACATAAAACAGATAAAATACTGCAATAGAATGTTTTGAGATTACAGATTTGTGCGTAATTCTCTCACAAAGGAAATGTAAGATACTGTACACGTTTATGTATGCAAAAAGTTAAAACTAGAAAAATGAAATACTTTGTCTAAATAGATGTTATTTAAGAATGTGACTCTTATTGGCAGTTTTTGATTTAAGTAAGACAATCCAGTTAAACAATGTAGTTTTTGATAACTTTTTTTTTTCTGCTACCAAGATACTTTTAGATACAGTTTGTAAAACTTTACAACCGGTAGAATGTCAATAACTTGGTAACACATTTACTTTCTTAAAGACTGTTTCTCTAAAAGGCAAGTTTGTGATTTTAACACTTTTTTTACTGACACTCGGCAGATTTGTGTGTAATTCTCTCACAGAGGAACTGTAAGATACACTTTTATGTATGCAAAACCTTAAAAACTAGAAAATAAAATACTTTGTCTGAATAGATTTTCTTTAAAGGCACTTTGATTTTAACGCTATTTCAGTGGAACAATCCAGTGTTAACATCAATGCTTTTTTCTCTTTTCTTGTGTTACTAAGATACTTTTAGATACACTTTGATGTATGCAACACTTAACAACTGGTAGAATATTAAGTACTTTGTAAGGAATTGGGTTTCTTTTAATGGCCGTTTTTTTATTTTAACACTTGTTCAGTTAAACAATGTAGGTTTTTTTTCTGATAACCTTACATATTTTTGTTATTTTCTGCTACCAAGATACTTTTTTGATACACGTTTATGTAGGAACATTTTACAACTGGTAGATTGTCAATGACTTTGTAACAAATGTATTTTCTTAAAGACTGTGACTCTAAAAGGCAAGTTTGTGATTTTAACACTTTACTGACACTAGGCAGATTTAGCTTTTTTCTCTCATTGTCTTTCTCTTACTTTTGGATACAGTTTTATGTATGACAACTTTACAACTGGTAGAAAGTTAAGTACTTTTTCTGAACAGATTTTCTTTAAGAATGTGACTTTGAAAGGGAAGTTTTTGTGATTTTAACACTGTTTCGGTGAAACAACTCAGTTTTCTGGAAGGAGTTCTGTAACCTGATCGGAGCCACAGTCAGCCTCTCGTCCGGATACCATCCAGAGTCCAATGGCCAAACAGAACACCTGAACCAGGAGTTGGAGACGTGCCTTCGTTGTTTGGTCGCTCAGAACCCTTCCTCCTGGAGCAGATGCCTTACCTGGGTTGAATATGCCCGCAACTCGCTTCCCACCGCTGCTACTGGGTTAACCCCTTTCCAACTTTTTTTCCTCCTACAAAGATACTTATAGTTACACTTTAATGCATACAAAACTTTACAACTTGGTCAAATATGAATTAACTTGTAATGAATTGAGTTTCTTAAAGAATCAAACTCTAAATGGAAAGTTTGTGATTTTAACACTGTTTCGGTGAAACAATGCAGTTTTTGATAACTTTAATAACCTGAATTTTTTTTAATGTATTTTTTAGATGCTTTACTGTGAATTATTTCAAGTTATTCTAACATAACATTACTTTTTTCAACGTGCTGTTTTCATATTTTCCACATACTGTGCTATTTTTCCCTCCATGACTTCGTTCATTATATTTTGAAAAACTACACAGAGATTTTTATCAACATACAACTATTACATCATACAACTCACTTTTTGTGAAATATTTCAACATACTTTACCTGTACCTTCTTTTCTTTTTTGAAGGGTTGCAGGATATTTAGCACGTCATGCATAAAACCTCTCATCTTTCTTGAAACTGACATACATTTGAGAAAAAAAGACGTGTTGTCCTTTTTACAAACAAGTTATTTTTCTGCTTCTTCCTCGCCCGTCTCTCTTCCTTCAGCCATCACAACAATCAATTCAGATCTATCAAATGAATCATCTACCTCTTCCTTTCCCCCACCCTAGGGTCCAGAGTCAAAACACCTCCCCCTCCAGACCCTCCCCCTTCTTTTATATCCCTTTCCTGTTTTATGGTCAGTCCCTGTGACTCTGGCTGCCTTTACACGGGAACGTTTGCGTTTATGCACAGTATGCGTTTTCAAAAAACTGCCAATAAGAGTCACATTCTTAAATAACATCTATTTAGACAAAGTATTTCATTTTTCTAGTTTTAACTTTTTGCATACATAAACGTGTATCTTACATTTCCTTTGTGAGAGAATTACGCACAAATCTGTCATCTCAAAACATTCTATTGCAGTATTCTATCTGTTTTATGTCCTCTATATATATATGTTGCACTGTTGGAGGAGCCTGTGACCTATGTTTTTCATTGCCATATCTACACTGTAGCTAATGTGCAGATGACAATAAAAGCCTTGAAACTTGAAATGATCAAAACTGCATTGTCTCACTGAACCAGCCCTAAAAATCACAAACTGCCTATAAAGAAACCCAATTCCTTACAAGGTACTTAATATTCTACCAGTTGTAAAAGTGTTGCACACTTCAAAGTGTATCTAAAAGTATCTCAGTAACACAAATAAAGCAAAAAGCATTAATGTTAACAAAGCCTCAAATGGCTGACTCCTGAACTCCGTAATGTCCCCCTAACATGGCACTTAGCCTCTTAAGCACGGCGGTCCCCCCATTGGACCCCTCCCACCGTTTTGGTTTCGAGATAATGTCTCAGGGCTTCTTAACATTTATGAAACTATTAATGTGTAGCACCAGATTAACGGGAAGAATCACAGCTAACTGAAGATATGAACTATTTTTACCAAAACAAAACGCAAGTCTCATAAGAAGCGTCTAAATGACCCCTGAGCGAAAAAATTCTAACACACTGCGGCACACAATTCAAGATAAAAATACCCTTATTACTTATCGTAGCTGCACATACAATATATCCGATTAAAGCTGAGACTCCACAGATTATTTAGTATAGTATCATCACTGAGCGATCCTAAATTGCGACAGGGGAAGCAAACACAGACATCACAACACGTACCTTTACGGAGCTTTTACGGCAGATCGTCTCACCGTAGTTGTCAATTAGGTCAAAAGACGTGTTCAATGGCATTAAAACGAAAAAAAAAAAAATCTACAACTGTCGATCCATAGGTTGATAATGTACCTGTGCCTTTTAAAAAATTATTTATAATCCATAATTCCATTTTTTATGTAAAAATCGGAGCGGAAAAAGTTAGCTGCTAATGGTAGCCACCAGAGTGTATGCAGCTTCCGGTTTTGGTAACGCGTCACTCTCACTCCTTATTTGTTAACGTTTTGGTGTGTATATAACTTTCCCTCGATTCCATTGGCTCGAGCGGTTATAAAGAGATTTCATTCATCAAAATTGAGCAAGGGGGGCCAGAGATAGGTCAAATCCACCCAAATGACCCCAGAAGTGGGGGTTTTTGGCTAAATCTCTCTAAAAAGGTCAAATTTCACTTTTTTGCATCAATCTTGATACAGGGTACTTATTATATGTTGTACTTTGGATTCCTAAAGCTTTTAGTCTACTAACCCATCATCCAAGGGTAGTTTTCACTATCTGTAAAAAATAACTTTTGGACGGACACTATAATTTACAGTTTTTTACTATGTAAAATCTGAATTTTCTTTAAAATAAAAAACATCTATATTGATTCTGACTTTTCTAAATCCAACTCACAGGTTTATCATTACTTTGAGAAAAAAGATGATTAATTTAACCCTTTTAGAAGGGAAGATATGGTCATTTGTTCTGGGAATGTCATTTTCGAGCCTGAGACCTGAAAAACAGGCTCAGGGCTTAAGAGGTTAGACTATTTACATCATCCAAGGAAACACACCAGTAAATACACCTCTCTTTGTCTGCTCTTCAAGCCTCAAAGGGCGGACTCATGAGCTCCGTGATGTCCCCCTAACATTGCACTTAGACTATTTACATCATCCAGGGAAACACACCATTAAATACACCTCTCTTTGTCCGCTCCAAGAGCCTTAAAGGGCGGACTCATGAGCTCCGTATTGTCCCCCTAACATGGCACTTAGACTATTTCCATCATCCAGGGAAACACAACTTCAAAGGGGCTTCCTTATAGTTAATAAAGTATTAAACAATAAAATGTCATATAACCTTATATTACCACAAAAGAGTCAATAAGTAATATTAACCCCCTATTGAGCAATATCCTTATGAGGGGCTATAAAACAGCTAAACAAGTCATACTATCATCATTAACAATATCTGGTTTCATCATTGACAAATAATGACCTACTAAGACACTCTAACAGGTTTCACATCAAAGGGGTAATAAAGTCTTATCACCCCCCTATTGTGCAACATCCTTTATGAAGGGGCCATAAAACAATAAAACATACAAGTCATAAAAGATAAAAGGGTCAAAGGTCAGATGTGTAAAGTATTATCAACCCCCATCTATTGTGCAACATCCTTTATGAGGGGGCAATAAAACAATAACCAAACAAGTCATAAAAGATAAGAGGGTCAAAGGTCAGATGTCAGAGTGACAGGTGCAACTTCAAAGGGATTTGGAGGCGGGACTAAGGTTTATGAAGGTCATAAATCACTCTCTTATCAGGTACTTAATCTCATTTGGACACATACCCCTGTTTTATAACTACTCACTATCAGAAACGTTGCTATCAGAAACAATGCCCGACTGTTTTGGACGTAATATGGTCGGTGTTTACATTAGCATCGCTAACACTCAGAGCTAACCTGTACTGGAGAGAGCATGTGTGTGAAAAAGCAGGAAATAAAAAGGAACTCACCTTGTGGTATAACCGGCAAGAGAGAAAGCCTTTGAGCTCCATACTGATTCAGAAATAGTCCTTGATTTAATAATCCTTGCGTTTCATCAGCGCAGCATTTTAGACAGTATCTGCCAGGTCCCGCATGAGCCGGCATAAGCTCCGCCCCCTCTTAATTGTTTTATTTAGCCTTTATTTATACAGGTGAAAATCTCATTGAGACACAGGGTCTCATTCTCAAGAGAGACCTGTTTATACCCAGAATCAGCACTTTTGAAACAGGAAGTGAAATAGAGGGATATGAGGCATGGCTAGAATGGGTGATCTGTTTGGTTTTTTGACCAAAACACTTCATAGACATGTTTTTTATATATTTGTATATATCTGAGACCTATGCTATTGCCTAAAAATAGCATGATAAGTGACCTTTAAAGGATTGGAAAGGATCTTACTGTGTACTGCTAGAACTCACTGCTGAGAATATTTTAGTTTTATAGGCTTCTCTGTTGTGGGCTTTTTATGTTTTGTTTAAATCTTGAGAAAAAGGGTTTTTTGAATGTTAGGGTTAGGTTTTGGGGCACATCTATAAGACTACTCACTTTTTATTGGATACAGTGTAGATTGCGGCAGTTTTTATTGCTCCCCATCAGCAACAGTTCAGATTAGTCATACTACTCAGTCAGTGTTAGTTGACTCTTTGGAGCCAGAATAGACTCTTTGCTATCCTGGCTCCAAAATGGTAGAATGAGCTCCGCATCGATATTAGGACAGAAGAAAGTCTAAAATCCCACTTGTTTCCTATGCATCTTGGCCAATAAAAAAAAGAACGTAGCACTTAGGAAAGTTGTGCTAATTCGAAGCCAATGCAGAAGCACTTACAAACCTGGTTTGGCTTGTTGGAGTCTAATGTACTTGCAAGATCTTGCTGCTTTTAGTTTGTATCTTCATGGTTGACTGTACTTGTAATCAACCATATCATCTTGGATAAAAGTGTCAGCTGAATTAGATGTAATGTAACTGTTATCAAAGTGTATTGATGAGGAAAACACACTTACTTTTTGTTGGCGATCACATAAATGCAGGGGTTGTAAAAGGTGGAGGACTTGGCGAAGAGTGGAGCGATGATGGCCATGGCGGCAGGGATTCTCTTTGGGTCACCAAATGAAGCCCATAGACACACGATGGAGTACGGAGACCAGGCCACCAGGAACATGACGATCATTACTATCGACATCTGTCAAACACAAACACACCAACATAGTCTCAATATGAGAGTCAGGACAGTGTATATAATACATTATTCCAATACTAAAGTCCAATAGAGTGCTGCAGTGATGACATCTTTTTTTAGGTTGACCCTAAAGCATTGCAAGCGCTCCCACGATAACAATCAAAGGGGTTTTTCAATTCGATTTCAGAATATTGCAGAAATTAGCTCTGTGGTAGACACATTTTTATGATAATTACAGTTACTTTTGTTCAGCAGGATAATCTCCACATATTAACACCACTTCTATAATATTTGAAGCATAAATACAGTTGCCAGAAATTAGCTTCAAACAAACTACATCATGGTCGTTTTGGCTTCGCATCACCACCGCTAAGCTAAAGTCGGCTAATGTTCGCCGTGATAAAGTGTAGTAATCTCGTTTAGTCACTTGTTAGCAACTGACAACTGCATCACAGTTGCATGACTTTACGTCGCCACTGCTAAGCTAAAGGCTGCTAATGTTCGGCGTATTGACGTTTAGTAGTCTTATTTATAAGCTCTTTAGCAACCATTGTTTTTTAAGACATGTAAAAGATTTGCGGAGGCATGTGGTGCAGTGGGTTGTGCGTTGGTGTTCGGATCAGGGGGTCACAGGTTCAAACCCCACTGCAGTCAGCATGTCGTTGTGTCCCTGAGACACTTCACCCCAAATTGCTCCTGTGGGGATTGCCCACAGTATTGAGTATGTAAGTCGCTTTGGATAAAAGCATCTAACAAGTGACATGTAATGTAATGTAATATAGTCACGGGTGAACAACCAACGTTGTTAAGACTCAGAAAATCTTCAGACATTCACCAGTGGGGTAATTACTGAAAGATTTTTGGTTGTAGGACAAAACTAAATAATATTTTAAGCTTGTGTTAACCACAGACCTTATTTCACGCATCTAACAATAAACACGTTAAACAAATTGTTGACTTCGAAACATGGGACAGGCAGTACATAAAGGCTAACTCATTTCTGGGTTTTAGGACACTTTCTTGCACCACTCTATGTTTAAAAATTGTAATAACATGTATAGGATGGAACTAGTGTATGTAAAATCAGGTTCTAAAAATAGATTTTTGGACAAAGTTACACTTATAAAGTGAGTCGATTCTCTGCTAGTCAAGATTAAAATGTAAGTCCTGTTTCTCGCTCGAGGCCAGGAAAAGGCTAGTCACTGTGACCTTTTTACCTGTGCTGGACTATGGTGATTTGATTTATATGAATGCACCTGCCAATTGCCTGGTCAAGTTAGATGCTGCGTATCACAGTGCACTGAGATTTGTGACAAACTGTAAAGCATTAACCCATTACTGTACCCTGTATGCAAGGGCTGGTTTGCCTTCGCTAACTGTACGGAGGCTCAGTCACTGGTACATTTTTATATACAAAGCCATGTTAGGGAAACTTCCATCCTACATCTGCTCCCTGATCTCACGGCGAATTGTAAGTGGCTACTGCCTGAGATCGCATGCTGTGGTTTTATTAAATGTGCCAACTGCTAGGACTGTCTTAGGGAAGATAGCATTTAGATGCGCAGCTCCACTGTCCTGGAATAGTCTGCAATTGAAATGGAAACTGAGCAATCTGGTGCCACTAAATGTTTTTAAAGCTCGGTTGGATGCTACTCAGTCGGAAGCTGTTGGTACCTGTTCATGTGGATAGTTATGTAAATTGTAATCCCTGTAATGATGCTGTATGATGTCCTTTTTGTTGTTCTGTTTATGTTTTTAATGTTTCATGTGGAACCTACTTGAGCAGGTCTCCCTTGAAAAAGAGATCAATGATCTCAATGGGATACAACCTGGATAAATAAAGGTTTGAAATGAAATGAAATGAAGTAATACAGATGCAAGGGTGAAATAAGCCTGAATCCAGGGGACACATTCCCGATGCAATATCATGCTGTTGAAAACTGTACAAAGGAAGCTTTTTACAAGTAGTATATGCAGGGAAGAAAATGAAATTACTTTTAACCACTTTTTAAAACACAAAAGTTAAACTGATGGCCTATGCTATGCTAACCTAGCAGAGTGAAGAAAGAAGAGTGAGCCAGATGGCTCAGTGGGGCGCAGTGTTCACCTTGGTGACGTCCATCTGATCGGTCCAGTCCATGTTGATGCTGTCCAGTCCGTTGCTGTCTGTGTGTCTCTTCATAGTGACGGACACGTTGTAATAGCAGTACAACATGATGGACAGAGGTAGTATGAAGTTCACAACAATCACAGCCATGGTGTAAGAGATGAAGGAGCTGTGGAGGAAAAGCTAAGTTAGTTTTATCATCTAACTGACTTTGACTTGTAATAGAGTATCTTTAGACAATGATATTAATACCTTTACTTAAAAGGGACCTATCATGCAAAATGCACTTTTTGATGTCTTTTATACATAAATATGTGTCCCCGGTGCGTCGGGGAACTCACGCAGCGTCAGAAAATAAAACCCTTTCTCTTTTCCTCCGTACCCAAATCTTTTAAAAACGGGGGTACAACGAGCGGATAAAGATTTGCTGCCGATATGACGTCAAATCGGCGGCAGACCCACAGAAAGTTGCTATCAGAAACAATGCCTGACGTGTTTTGGACGTAATCCCGTCTTTGTTTACATTAGCAAGCCTCGCTAACACTCAGAGCTAACCTGTACTGTAGAGCAAATGTGTTTAAAAAACAGGAAATAAAAAAAGGAACTCACCTTGTGATAAACCCGCAAGAGAAAAAGCATTTGAGCTCCATACTGTTTCAGTAATAATCCTTGATGTGGTTTAGAACAGGATGGCGTTTTATCAGAGCGGAATTTAACTTTATCTCTGGTAGAATTCTGATCAGGCATTAGCTCCGCCTCCTCTTTTTTTTTTCTTTCAAGCTAAGGACCCAAAATCCGCGTTTCTCTAAGGGCTGCAAAAGAGGGGTATGAGCAGTATGAGGCATGGCTACAATGGGTGATCTGTTTGGTATTTTAAGCAAAAAACTTCACAGATATTGTTAGAGCCATTTTCCTTTTGTTATTATTGTCTGAATGTTAGGCTTAATAATAATATAAATTAGATTAAACTCTTGATTATCAGGTATTTTTCAGTCACACTATGGTTTAAAATGTATTAATTTAAAGGGGACCTATCATACAAAATGCACTTTTGTACATCTTTTATACATGAATATGTGTCCCCGGTGTTCCAGGGAACTCACCAAGTGTCAGAAAACACAACCCTCTCTCTTTTCCTCCATACCCAAATCTCTAAAAACGGGGCTGCAACGGATCTGATACAGACTGATCCAGATTTGAACATTTCTCTGACGTCAGGACGGAGGAGCTGACCTATCAGGGGAATGAGAGGTTGCCGTGGCATGGTAACAGCATGGTAACACGACGCTCGTAACTCGGCCCCCTCCTTTGCAGGGGGGCGTGGTCAGCTGAAGCGCATGCAAAGACAGGGTGGAGGAGAGCAAAATAGAGCGAAATGAGGCATGGCTGAAATGCATGATCTGTTTGGTATTTTGAAAAAGAAAACGTATAAATATACCTTATATAGGTATGGCCCTACAATATATTATTCAAATATAGCATGATAGGTCCACTTTAAGGCTCACTTATTTGTTATGATATGTGCGTCAGTATCACGTGCATGGGTATATGCCTATATATGGTAGGTTGGTAGGACACAGCTGATGGTGATGAGACGGGGAAGCGGAAAAGTCTTTTGACCGTGTTCTTTATGTTCTTTTTGAGACTGATAACTTTATTTTACTATGAAGCGAAGAAATGTGTCCTCCTGTTTGTATGTCATCTGGACCATTGAATAAAGCTCATCTAATTCAACAACGATCTCTGCTGAATTGTTTGGAAACAAAGAGAGGCGCGTCAAAACCATAGACTGTATATATAAATGGACGTAGGGTCCGTGACGTCACCCATAGGATTCTGCAGAGTTGCCGAGAAGAGTCTAACTCCCGCCTGCTCCAAATAAGGGCAAAGAGGCGGAGCCGAGGCGGGACCTGCTGCCTCCGAGCTGGAAGTAACAGAGCTAGCTCAAGCTAAGAAGCTAAGCTAACATGCTCCCCATCTGCACACTGCCGTCACATTTTACGTTTCTAAGGTAAGCGGACATGAAACTATTCAGCAAAACTATAAATAATAATCTAAGTTATTGAGTTTTTAGCATAATACTTCAGAATCTTAAAATCCCTTAACGTTTGAATCAGTGGCGTCGCCTGGCCTGGGCATCCGGGGCTTTAGCCCCGAATGTTTTTTCTGTAGCCCCGGACAATTCTCCCTCAATAATATAATACATTAACCGTGCTTTACGTGAACCTCATCATGACACAAGAGAGGACGGCAGCACTGTAATTTCCCGTGTTCAGTGAATGCAACAGAGGCATGACACCAGACCAATCAGAGAGTTGCATGGAAATAAACGTGTGCTTGTGTCATTCAAGCTCGGCTCTGTGTGTGTGTGTGGCAATAGCGCATTTAGTGTGATAGAGGGGGAGAGAGGGAGGGAGGGAGGGACCGGTGTCAGCATGGACCGTGTTGTTAGCATCTGGTTAGCTAGCTGCACTAACGGACATAAGGAGCTGTTTGTTCCACAACAAGCTGGAGGAGAGTCCTCTCCTCTCATACCCCTTTCACACCAACGCAACTCCGGTTCAAGCTCCGTGCTAGAGCTTTTCAGGTTCGGAACCGGTACTTCGGTTTAGCTCCGGCTCTTTTCACACCGCTCAGTGACCGACTGGTGCTGCCGCTGCTGCGTCATGACGTCACAGTTTACGTCGCTGATTTTCTCCCCAACGGAGCTCACCTCACAACAACAACGGGCCGGGGACTGCGTTGCTTTTAATCATACGAAGCCAGATTAAATTAAATAACGACTTCTCCAACCTTATACTTTTCTCCAGAGTGCCGTGGTTCATTGTTTATTAATGTGTTTCAGCGGCATTTACCGACCGCTGCAGTGCTGGCCGGCTGCTCTTCCACGAGTGTATTCTCCCGTTAGCTCCGGGTTAGCTCACACGGCTCTAAAGTATTCACTGTCTGACTGTCACACAAGCAGCTGATACATATCCCCAGTTCCCCTTAAGTGAATGTGTGTCAGTCTGAATTGACGCTGTTTGGTGTCAGTCTGAATTGACGCTGTTTGGCATCACAACTAGGGTGGCCATTTCCATAACACCAAAAAGGAGGACACTTTGGGATTATCTTTTAGTTTTTATCCTGGCTTCACTGAATCCTTCACACTCAAAACACAATAAGACTAGTGTACTAACCACAAGTTGAATGTCTATTTTCGATACTTTTGCCCTTTCCTGGCTGCTTCCAAGAGTTTTTTGTTTGTAAGGAGTCTCTGGTACATGTCTGTGCACTCAAATGTGAAGTTGACACAAATTTGCAGCTCTGCCTTGACACTGTCCACATCCAGACGATTTCTCTCATTTCTCCATACTGAGGTCATCATTGAGAACACACGTTCTGTATGGGCATTGCTACATGGGATGGAGAAGATGTAGGCGCTGACCTTCCTCAGATTCACAAGTGGGACTTCTGCTTTGGAAAACAGTTTGAGATACCGCTCCTCACTGTGGCATCCTTCCATTTCTGAAGAGCTGAGAATAGCTTCCACCATGCCATATTCCTCATAGAGTCCATCCAATGTCTTTCAGGCTGCAGGCTTGGACTGCATCACTGTATTCTCCATAGGACACAGCAGTTGTGAGGCCAAGCTTTGGCACTTTACTATGAAAGCTGTTCTCAGAGAAGTCATACCTTTCACTCACGTATTTCTTGGCTCTTTCATAGAAAACAAGAAAATCAGCCTCACATTTCTTTGCCAGATCAGGGGTTAGCTGCTTGAGTTTGTTGTTCACAGCAAAGCCAAAAAATGTGTCCTTTAACCTTCTCTCAAGTTTCCCTTTCAGTTCAGTCATTACCTTAAACACAGAGGTTATGCTGAATGATTTGGCCTCAAGTGCTTCAATGCAGTCTGAAAACACTTTCAGAATGTGACTGAGGAAGAGAAAATACATCTCAGATACTTCGTTGCCATCCTCTCCAAAGCATTTACACAAAATCTTGGAGCATTCCTCCTCACCTAGACTCTGAAAGTAGCTGGTCAGGGGTCTCCAACACTTCAGGATTCTGTCAATAGATGGCAGCAGAGACAACCATCTCGTGACAACGTGCCGCAGCAGATTGCATTCCTCCACTTCCACAAACTCGCAGAATTCCTTCAACTGCGCCGTTCTGCTAGCTGAGATGCTAAAATGGCTATACACCTTAAGCACAACATTTTCAATGTCAATATCCAAGTTGCTTGCTGCATATCTTGTTGCATTGTGCAGAATATGGGCTAAACAGTTTGCAGCGAGCACGTCTTTTTGAGCCAGTTTCAGTTTCTGATAAACACTGTTGTGTTTTCCATAGTTAACGCTGGCGTTGTCTGCTGCATATGCTGACATTTTTTTCACATCTAGTCCAGACATCTCCAGTTTAGATAGCAACTGATTTGTTATAGCTTCTGACTTTTCGTTGCTATCACTGTAAAAATCCAACAGTGCATGTTGCACGCCCTCCTCAAAGTGAAAATATCTCAGTACAATGGGGAAACACTTGATCGTACCTTTGTTTGATGCATCACTTGCCACTGAATAATGCAGTTCATTTTCTTTTATATAATCCACATGCGTCTGGACAGAGTAGCAGCACCTTTTCCTTTGCTGCTTACGTCCACATCGCAACGACACAACGTGCAAAAAGCATGGAAGTCGTCCTTTCGACTTTTTGTGAGGAATCCATGCTCTTTCGACCATTCAGGATTAAATGAAGTCTTTCGTTTCGGCATTTCTGCGGTTTAACCCTACCGCTAACTAGGTGGAGTTGGCTCATGAGCTAGTCGGCGAGGCTAACTTCACTCTGTGCCACAGTGCCCTGCCGTGAACGTGACGTCAAGAAGCACATGGCTAATTGTTTACGTTTATTAACCAATGAAATACAAGATATTTATTTGACATCGCATTCAGCCAATAATTTGTAAGACCACAAGTCTTACGGGGATATATACTTACACATAACTTATTTTTTGTATTTCTTTGTATAATTGTCTATTTTTTTTTATACCCTAAAAGTATAAAATAGGGATGACCTCAAAAGGAGGACAAATGAGCGTCCGGCTCAAGGCTGCGCCGGCAGACGGACACAGACATTGAAAACCGGACTGTCCGACCTAAAACCGGACGGATGGCCACCCTAATCACAACGCTG